AGTCAAAGTTAAATATTAATCTTAACCACATGTTATAACTACTATTCATTTATTAATCACACATTTTATGGGATCCAATACTATTCATCTTATAAAGTTACTAATATTTACTTGAATGCTAACAATATAGTATAATAATTAAATGTAGCTCATATTTGACGGGAATTAAAATCAGATTTTTAGTAAATTTTAATAAAATGTATGGTTGAAAAATTCAAAATCTCATAAAATGTGTGATTAGAGCTAGTTTTTGACTTTGACTCAAATTTAATTTGTACCAAACAGAAACATAATTTATTTTAGTTTCTCAATTCTATCATGTTTATCGTATCAAATATGGTGTTAATTTGTTGGATAAACATATGTACACACTCAACATCTGTTATAAGGGAGATTTGACTGTCCTAGCTTTGGTAGCAGACTCTATTTGACTAAAGGCTTAAACTAATCATTAGTGTTATTGAATTTTTCGCCGTTGCGCTCGATACTTATAAATTCTATTTTAAATGAAATTTTTTAAAATTCAAATGAATTTTATAAAAGTATATAAAAATTTAATATGAAAGTCCATAGAAATCTATGAAAGACTTCCATTAATTCTATACACATCTATAAACGTTCACGAATTCCACAAAAATTCATCACTTAACAAAGCCTACAAAAATCTTCAAAAAGTCCCAACTGAATACAACTCTCTTAGTAATTTAATTAAATTTTCATTTGATTTTAAAAAGTCAAACCAAATATCTATCATGGTACAAAGTGAATACAAAAAGAATTTATTTTTTATTGCAATAAAATATATTGCAATATAATTACTAAATTGAGCTATCCCAAATCTAACAACAAATTTATTTTTAACATGTATCTCTATATGCATACCATATTCATTCTTAAGATTTTCTTCAACCATTGAAATATGGTCCCCTTCATGGTCAATTCTATTCCCACAACCTACAGCAAATTGATGGAGCTAAAGGCTACCCACTTTATGTAAACCACTCAACAAAAGCAGAAAAAGAACACAATAGGGAAGATGTGATATCAACTCATTGCTTTCAACAAAGAATAAAGAAAAATTTAACCTTTAATTTTTTTTTATCTTAAATATTATACGTTTTTCGATCAACCTATCAAATTAAAAACACGCCGAGACGTGAAATAGAACATAAAATCATAACGAGTCAAAACTCTAATCATGTCCCTTCTAAAAATTTACGATTTTTTCAACAATGTACCATTGGTATGGTGCCTTCACCAGCATATTCTATATAACAGTTGATTGATTCCAAGTGCTCAAGACTTTAGTTGATGTTGCCCAATTATTTTCATCCACGTTTGGCATAGCATGAAATATGCAATATTCAACCAATATTATGATGTTTTCCACCCAAGAATAAATCGCATTCCAATATTATAAGTCTTTCTATATATAAAAAGTGCCTATTTAACGGAATTTGTTGTTTTAACGGATTATGTAACGGAATTTCTTGTTTTAAACAGGCAGCTGCACCTTCTTTCAGTGTTTTTATCATAACTTTGTATTCCGATGTTCGATTGAGGCGATTCAAAATGAGTT